CTCTTTCTTATACATGAGTGTCTATGCATTTCTTTCCCTAGTTGACCCAGACTAACACACGCCTTAGCCTCAAAGTCTATTTTTGTTATTTCCCGGCAACTTCATTGTTTTGCTCCCTTGCTGCTCTGTTATATGCCCTTAGTATTTCACTCCAGTGTGATGGGGTCAGATCAGGCACAATTCCCACACTGTAGTGCTATGGATCAGTGAGGGACATTATGTCTGTGTCTCATGGCGGGTCTGTGCATTGTCAGCTCTGAGCAGGAATATCGTCCTTGGGGCTTGGTGGGCCAGGATGTGTTCCACTCTCTTTCCTTCCCTCTTCATTTGCTTCTGTGTGCTCTGATCAGACACGCCCCTCTCCCCGAGCTGTAGTTACAGTGCTGTCCTCTGAAGTACATTCACTGTATTTTGAAATATTTTTGTCTAACATTCCTTTGACTTTAAATTAACTTTGCTTAGCTTTGCATTGGTCACAAAATTCCTTTTAGGATATGTATAATAACAATAACAATAGCATATGTATAATATGTATAATAACCATAGCAATATCAACTTAAAAAACAATTTTTTTGACATATAATTCACATTTCAAGAGTTCAATCATATCCAAAAGAGTTGCATAATCATTACTACAATCAGTTTTAGAACATCAATATTTCCTTGTATTCACTGTTGTTAGGTCCCAATTATCCACTAATCTCCCTGCCATGCTCCTAGGAAACTATTAATCCAGTTACTGTCTCTATAGACCATACCTATCTTGGATTTAATATAGAGAAAAACGTACAAAAACCCCCAAAAACCTCAGTAAAATGACAGACTGAAACAGAGAAACCCTCAATAGAAAAGAAAATAGAAAAATATTAAAAACTGGAACAAATACACATTGGATAAAAAGGGTGAATGACAAGGTGTCACATATTAGCCTAACTACGACTGCAGTAATCCACCCTACAATGCACTGTCTGGTAAGAAGGCTATTCCCATCCCTGGTCCACTGTCTTTTACTAGGGATTTAATCTACATGGGGGACCCTGCAAATGGGTTTTGGGCTTTCACTATCATCCATATCCTTCTGCAAACTGGGTGTTCAGAATTTAAGTTCTAATACAGTTCCCTCCAATGGATTTAGATTTTATTATTTACCGACCTTGGATCACATAGGCTGACATGTTTCTTCCCTGTGGACTTAGCTAAAGTCTCATTTCGATGGCTTCTTTAGGACAAGCCTTTAAGACTCTGGACCTTATTCTTTTTGGTGGCTGGGTACCTGCTTTCTTCACCACATTTTGATATCATACCCATATCTTCAGTAATCTCTTCATGAGTGCAAGTATTAAGCAGGGTCATCTCATGAGAACTAATTGTTCTTAGATTAGGACTATGAAAAAATGCTATCTTCAAATCCATTCATATATCTATGGTTTATATATGTCTCTGGTTAACTTTAAACCAAAACCAATTCACTGCCATGGAGTTGATACCAACTCATAGCAACCCTATAGGTCAATGGGAAACTGCCTTGGTGGGCTTTTGAGATTGTTAAGTCTTAACAGAAGTAGAAAGCCCATTATTATTATTTTTTAGAGAATATTATGAATTGTTGCCATAGAGCTTATGGTAGTTCTGTTGATAGTATCATTAATTTAGCCAATGGTATAGAATTTAAAACACTGTTGAGAAAAGGAAAATATACATGTATAGGATAGTTTTTTAGACCAAAATACATGGATTGTTAACTTGTACAGTTATCAACTTAGTGGCTGGATACTATACACAAAAAGTGAAGGTTGGAGATAGGGCAAAACTTCCTATAATTCTAATTCACAAAGGTAAAACCATGCCTACTAGACTAAAATTTCATAAAAAGGCAATAAGAGTGGCTAATATATGGTAGCTTTGAGTTGCTATTTATTGAGTACCCTCAAAGAAAGAATTTTGAACTAAAATTCAATGACTTCCACATTCATAGCCTTGGGACAGCAGTCTTGTCACATTAGGGTGTTTCAACCTTAAACCTAAGGGAGTACTTTGGTTTCTTTCATCTGTTACAGGTGTGTTTAAGGTAGAGTCCAGTTCTCTTAGTAGAAGTTCCAAGTCGGATGCTTCTTATGTGGCCCATGTACACCTCAAACGGGCAGAGTCTAAGTCCTAGTTGTCTACAGTACTCAGCCTGAGCCACCACCAGGGACTGAATGAAAAGTGCCCAATTAGGAACATGACATTCTCCTATTGGGCACAGCTTATTCACCCATTGGAGGCTCTGTATACTTGATGTGCATTTTTCCTTATGACAGGCTGCCCCACGTGGTTTACCTACCAGAAGAAACGTAATTGCCTTCTCTGAGAAAGACATGCCCTTCTCTTGATTTCTATTTTCAATAAGGCACGCTAAGCATTCTTGTAGTAATATCTATTAATTTGGGGTGACCATAGAACAATGTTATATGGCAGAAACTGATTGGTCTCTTCCCTCTCCCCACAATATGGGAAAGTGACCCAGTTGAGGTAAGACACACCCCCCCCCCGCCCCCTGTTGAAGCTTGCCTTTGTCTTGGTGTTTATTCTTATAGCAGTGGTTTTATACCATATTTGTCCTTTTGTGATTGACTAACTTCATTTACCATAATGATTTCCAGGTCCATTCATTCATTAGGTGTTTCATGGTTTCATTATTGTTTTTCAGGGATGCACAGTATTCCATTGTATATATGTACCAGTTTCTTTTTTTAAATAATTAAATCATTTTATTGGGGGCTTGTACAACTCTTATCACAATCCACACATACATCCATTGTGTCAAGCACTTTTGAACAGTTGTTTCCCTCATCGTTCTTAGCACATTTGCTTTCTACTTGAGCCCTTGGTATCAGCTCATTTTTACCCTCCCTCCCCGTCCCCCCTCCCCATGACCATGAACGCTTGATAATTTATAAATTATTATTTTGTCATATCTTACCATCTGACATCTCCCCTCACCTACTTCGCTGCTGTCCACCCCTCAGGGAGGAGGTTATATGTAGATCCTTGTAATCTGTTCCCCCTTTCTCCCTCACCTTCCCTCCACCCTCCTGGTATATCCACTCTCACCACTGGTCCTGAAGGGATCATCTGTCCTGGATTCCCTGTGTTTCCAGTTCCTATCTGTACCAGTGTACATCCTCTGGGTCTAGTCAGATTTGTAAGGTAGAATAGACATTGAAGGGATCAGGTATCAGGCATCAAAGACCAAAATAATCATAGCATTGTGAATGAGGGGGAGTGCAGAGTGGGGACCCAGGGCCCATCTGTGGGCAATTGAACATCCCCATGCAGAATGGTCATGGGGAGGAGACGAGACAGTCAGGGTGTAGTGTAGCAATGATGAAACAGATTTTTCCTCTAGTTCTTGAATGTACCAGTTTCTTTATCCATTCTTCTACTGATGGGCATTTGAGCTGTTGCCAGTTTCTTGCTATTGTGATCTGTGATCAATGAACCCGGGAGAGCATACGTCTGGGTTGTGTTCTGTCTCTTACTTCTTTGAGATATATGCCCTGCAGAGGTATTGCCAGATCATATGGTATTTCTATTCCCAGTTGTTTTAGGTGTTGCCACATCAATTTCCACATAGTTGTACATGTTTACAACCCCACCACTAGTGTTAGTTTCAATGTCTTTGCACCCTCTCCAGCATTTTTTAAAATGGGCTATCATTTTAGATGTATCTTGTTTTCATTTGTATCTAACAGCAGTAGCATCTTTTCAAATTATAACATTGGACATGAACAAGTGAATGTCTGAGAATGGTATCAGTAAGCAACACACTGCAACAATATATATAGTACACATTATGGACAAGTTGGCATAAGACCAACAGTGTTTCTTTGTGTTGTACATGAGTTGGCTGAGTCAGAACCAACTCTATGGGCACCTAACAACATGAATAAGATGTACTTGAAGGGAAAAAAGTGGGAAGTTTTAAATGCTGTTAGGTGCTGTGGAGTAGGTTATAAGGAAACACTGACTGGTCCTGTGCCATCGTCAAAATTCTTATGTGTGATACCATTGTTGAGGGCCTACCACTTCTTCCAAGGGAGATTTGTAGGTTAAATGTGGTTAGTTCTAACCGTAAAATAGCTGTAACTAGAATATCACGTAATTTGGGGACGATATGTGCTCACCTCCAGAAGTAGACTATTTTTTGCCGATGCTTCTCCTGGGTTTAAAAACCGAGTGTTGTGTACAAAGTCTGTCCCTAAAGGTCGATGAGGTCTACTTTACTAGCAAAGCAGCAAGCATTCTGCTGTTTTCTGTAGCCTTGCATTCACCTCTCTGGGGCAGTTTCCTCATTTGTAAAATGTGATGACTATATTCTCTCCTCATCACAAGATACCAAGTTAATTCTGCGTCAGGTGCAGAGTCTGCAAATGGTGAGTGTAAAATGAATCACCCTCCCCGCACTCCCACCCACCAACCCCCTCCCAAAATTTGATGCATAAGAAAGCAGAGGCTCAGAGATGCCAAGAATCTAAATCACATGACTAAGTAGTCCGTAATCTCCAAGGGCCTTCCCTCAGCATTTATTCCGCCGCGCAGTACAGCCCTAACTAGCACAGCCAGTCCCAGCTGCTACTGGTCCACAGCAACCGCTAAGTCCTCCCAGTTTCCTAAGGTCCGGCGCCCAGACAAGAAGCTTTCCTTCCTGTTTCCCAAGATTACGCACCGGAAATGATTCACGGTGCCAGTACCCAAGATGGCCACCAGGCTCTTCCGCTGCGCTTTCAATGAAAGGGAAGTGGGCGGGAACACAGAAGCAGCCCGGCTCAACGCCAGCCACCTATCGGGGGCGTGGCTTCCGGCGTCCGGAGGCTGTGAATCCAGGCCATTGGCCTGGCGGAGGTGGCAGTTGACAGGCGCTCCTCCCCCGAAACCGGAGATTGCTATTGAGCGAGGCCGGCTGCCGTAAGCTCGTGACCCCACGCTCCCAGTTCCTTGCTAGCGAAGCGCTAGGCGCTAGGTATGGACGAGGGGAAGATGGACGAAAATGAATGGGGATACCACGGCGAAGGCAACAAGAGTCTGGTAGTGGCCCACGTACAGGTAAAGCTGCGAACGCTCAGCGCGGTGTGGGGACCTCTCGTCCGTACGATCGGCGAGTCTCTTGTCTCCCCGTTACCTACCCTGAGTCAATGTAATGCCCTCCATTACACATCTCTCAGGTCAGTTTCTCGTCCCTGTAGTGCCTCCCAACCTGCGTTAGATTCTGGTTTCTTCCAGCATCACCCCTTACCTAGCCCAGGTCTGTCGTCCCAGGTAATTACCTCCATTCCCCAAGTCAGACACCTATTCCCCCAGTATCACCTCCTGGTCGGTTCCGATTAACCCCATAATCACACCCTTCCTCGTTGGGTTAATTCAGTGTACGACCAGCATCATTCTCCAGTCATCGCGACGTCGCAGTACCCCCACCCTGTCTGTGTACTTCTGTAACGTTTAGCCTCATGTAGTGCCCTGTGGCCTCGTGGGACTGCAGCGGGCAGTGGGGAGAGGCTGGGTTGAGATGGAAGACTGGAATAGCCTTTCTTCCCCACCAGGGAGGGAAATCTCGGAATTGCTGCTGTTTTTGCTGCTGTTTAATAATATAATATTAAGAAAAGGTTCAGAAACTGTATCCTGTAACCTTAGTAATAATGATTCCCAAGGAGGTGAATCGAGGAAGAGAAGATTAAGAATTCTTGTGACCGGCTGCATTTTGTTGACATTACTTACTTCCATGCAACTTTGTAGGAATGTGGGTTCCTCAGGGGGGCTAGAATATTCATTGTGTAGAGGTTAAGAGCAAGTGATTTAGAGCCAAGAAACTTATGGGTTAGTACTACTCTGATCTACATGGTCATTGTGAGTTGAAATTGACAAGTTGGCAATGGGTGTGTTATATAGAGCTGGGGCGAGGAATTTTTGAGTGATGCAAATGGTTAAGCTGCCCTACTATTAGTGAAAGGTTTGCATTTGGAACCCACCTGGAGACTCCTGGGAATCTAGGCCTGATGATCTTCTTCAAAAAGGTCACAACCTTGAAAACCTTTTAGAGCACTTCTCCTGTACTTGTGAGGTCACCAGAGCTTGCCAGAAACCCGATTGATTTCACCATTGTTTGGTTGAGTCATAGTTTCTGAATTTGTAAAGTAGGAATGGAACCTTTTGGTGGAATGCCTGGAGTTTAACAACTTAGTCCAATGATTGATACCTGTTACCCTCAGTAGACTAACAAAGAAAGCAGAGCGTAGAGAATTTAAGGGCCCCTGACCCAAATAGTCTGCAAATCCAGTTATTCCTGGCCTCTGTTGTTACTGTGCTGTTGGAGCCAGATGGGCTGTAGTGAAGCTGTTTTTATTCAAATGGCCTCTTATATTCTGCCTTTGCATTTTGGTATTCCTGAGCAGTTGAGGAGTCTTGGTGGTGAAGTGGATTTCCCATTGGCCTGGTCACAGCAGTTTGAACCCACCAGCTACTCTGAGAGAGAAAAATGAGGCTTTATGTTCTCGTAAAAATTTACAGCCTTGGAAACTCTCTGGGCAGTTCTGCACTGCCTGTCAGGGTTGCTCTGAGTAATGGCAGTGAGTTTGGTTTGAGTTTTTAGCATAGTTGAAATACGTGCTTTGCTCAAGATCTTTAACTGAATTAGAACATGGATTAACCGAAACTGCTATTCTCTGTGTTGTCTGCTTGGTGCTGTTGTTTTTCAAGATCTCATACAATGAATATTATTCCAGTGTGATTCCCTTTTGTGGTCAGGTTGGTGAAATAATTCCTGAATTCTTTCATTTAAAAAAAAACCATCTTTGGATTTCTTAATAAGGTTGGATGGGGCATCTCTATTTTCTACAAAACCAAAGTGTCTTTTAAGGAAGCCCTCATGGTGTATTAGTTACACATTGGGCTGCAATTCTCAAGGTCAGCAGTTCAAAACCATGAATTGCTTCATGGGAATAAGATGAGGTTTTCTGTTTCTTGGAAACCACAGGGGCAGTTTTACCCTGTCCTGTGTGGTATGAGTTGGAATGTGTTGTCCTATGAATTGGAATCAACTTGATGGCAGTGAGTTTTTTTTAATATGCTAAGTAAGTAGTGGTTATAAGTTGGACTGAAATCCACAAGGTCAGCAGTTTGAAACCACTGGCTATTCTGTGCGAGAAAGATGGAGCTTTCTACTTGTGTTAAACAGGGTTCTCTAGAGAGATAAAACCAAATTGCTGATAATTCAATATATTTATTTATAAAGATAATTAGATATATAACAAGAAATGAACTGTTAAATCATATACAGATAAATATATAATACAAGAAAGAAAC